ACAGCGGAGGAAAGAGGTGCCCATGGCTCTGCCCGTCCCTCGTCGCCGCCTTTTTGGGCCTCCTGGGAGGGCCTCGTCGACACCGCAGGATTCGCCTCTGAGTCCTGGCCAGAGCGCACCCCAGGAGAGGTCCGGGGAGTGGCGGTGTCGGTACCTTGTGGCTCCCCGAGGACGCGGGGTTGGCCGTGGGTCTTTCGCGGTGCTGGCTTCGTCTACTGGGGCGCGTTCAGGACAATCGGCGCGGCGGCACAGCACGTGCTCCAAGGTTTGGGGCGGTAGCGGCCGTGATCGGCCCCTCCCCCCCCCCTTTCATTTGCACGCGTTTGCAGAGATGCCCGACGGATTCTTCGAGGATGTCCTGAGATTTCCGGCGGCCCCCCGCCGTGACGTGATCGGGGGGACGAACTCCGCCCCCCCTCTCCCGATCACGCCCGTTATCAGGTGGTGGCTCGCGTCAGCAGGAAGCTGAGGATGTGCTGGACGACAGCCGCCTGGCCGCGCCAAACCTATCTTCTGCCCTTGCGCTGTGCTTGCTTGCCTCGCAATGTGTCCTATATAATATATATATATATATATATATATATATATCTATATATATATATCATGCCGTCAGCTAGCGCCTCTGGCGCCTCACCCCCCATGGTTCGCCTAATTAAGCGAATGAGGAAAGAGAGGCTCAGGGTCGAAGGGGGGGTGGCATCTCCCTCCTCGGCGGAGAGGGCGGCAGACGGGCGGCGGCAGCCCGCGGAAGCCAAACAAAAGCGAGGGCTCCTCCGCGGGCGGAAGCCCGCGGAGGAGCCCGCGGAAGCCAGGGGCAGCAAGCCATGGACCCCGAGAGCTTCGGAGGCGACGGTCGGGGCGAATGGCCCATGGGGAGAGCAAGACACTCTTTGATCTGCGGGGCGGGAGCGAGCCTCTCCCGCGAAAAGCCCGGCGGGCTGCGCACAGCTTTGATCAGAGCGACAGGGCACAGGAAGGCGGGGCCTCGGGCGGCCGGAGCGGGCGAGGCCCCGGGGAGCCCGGGGGAGAGCAATACCCAGGTACACGCATCCTTGGGCGCCGGTGGTCCGTGCTTGTTCGGCAGGGCTCCCGGGGCGAAGGCGTGCGGCGCTCGCCCCCACGGGCTGCTTCTCGCCCCCGTCGCCGCCGAGAGAGGGCCACGTGTGAGGAGGAGGAGGAGGAGGAGGAGGAGGAGGAGGAGGAGGAGGAGGAGGAGGAGGAGGAGGCGGAGGCGGAGGAGGGAGGAGGAGGAGGAGGAGGAGGAGGAGGAGGGAGGAGGAGGAGGAGGAGGAGGAGGAGGAGGAGGAGGAGGCCTCGTGGTTTCCGGCATCGGCCACTTCCCGCGTCGTCGCAGAAGACGCGACGAGTCCTGGCGGTGTCTCCTCGAGTTCGGCCTCCGCGAGGGCGCCAGCGGCCTCCCGGGAGCCGAGGAGGTCAAAGGCACAGCTGCCCCGAGGCGCCCGTTTTGAGACGCGGCACGTGCCGTGCTCAAAGCGTCCGTATGCACACGCTGCGTGTCGTCTCATCGGGGCTCCGGTGCTTGCCCTCTCTTGGCCTTGACGCGAGGCCCCTCCTTCTGCCTTCCTCCCTCCTGTCAGTTAGAGCTGTGCGCGGCCCGCTTAGCTTCGACCGGAAGAGGCTCGCTCTCGACCCGCGGATCAAAGAGTTGTCAAAACGTCCGTATTCACACGCTGCGTGTTGTCTCAACGGGTTGGCCCACGTTTTGGCGAACGTATCGCACCAAACGCACATGTTCAATCTACAGTGCCGTTTTTCATACATGCTCCGCGTGCGGATCATGTATTAAAAATGCAGGGATTTTGTATTACAAATAACGATGAGTTCGTGCATATTTTTTGCATATATTTATCATGTATTAAACATCCCATGTTTACAAACAAAAAAATCCCATGTCTTAACAACTGCCCTGTACGTGTGGAGCTCCGTGTCGGCACGCCCCGGGCTGCGTGCGGCGCCTCGGCGCAGCCGAGGTCAGAAACGCGCCCAACAAGAGCCCTTGAGAGCCTCGATCCCCCCCCGCACCCGCCAGCACGGTGTTGTGCGGTGCGCTGCGAGACTAGGACAGACGGACAGACAGAAGCCGCGCCCTGACGGCGCATTGGCAAACATATTGAACATGCTCATCACATGCGTGCCGGCATGCAGAAAAACGCGAGATTGCGCAGTGCCAAAAGATCACATTGCGTGCCGGCGAGGCTAGGGGAACAAAAAATGACATTAACATAAAAACTCGGAGTTCCGCGCGGATTTCTCGGATCGGCGCTGGGGCCCCCCGGCGGCGCCTCCGGCGCCGCTCCTGGCGCGCTCCGCGCGCCAGGGAGGGGGGTCCAGCGCCGATCCGAGTTTTTCTGTTTATGTCATTTGTTGTTCCCCTAGAGACGGGCCCCGGCCGCTTTTTCCCGTGGTTCTTCGTCCTGGATCTATCTTCCCAGGCCCCCGACCCGAAGGTTCCTCAAGCAGTGCTTGCACTGAAGGGGTCCTAGCAGAAGTTGAAAGATTTGGCGAACGTTCCCGCCGAATCTGGTAGCAGGCTGGGATCCCAGGTTCCCAGTTCCAGGTTCCCGAGTTCCCGGTTGTTGGTTCTGAGCTAATTTCGGTGGGTTTGGGGTTCCTGGGCTCCTGGGTTCCGGGTCGATCTCCTCAGCGAACACCATCCACTGATTGGGGTTTTCTCTGATGTAATGTGATTACTTTAGAACGTGGGCGCCCAGATGTCTGGAACCCTTCCCAGGGACAGGCTCTGCATCACGAGGTGCTGTTTGACGGCCCCGAGGCCCCGGCCAGTACACAGGGCCCCAGGAAGCCACAGGTAGCGAAAACTGGTCCGCCGTTTTTTTCCCCGAGGCACGGGGGCCCCGGAGCTTGGAACGGGCCCCGACACCGAGGCAGGACGCCAGCGCCGAAGAAGCCCGACGTCGTCGGAGATGTCAGTGGGGCCCCGACCGCGCCAGGCGGCAAGCCCTCCACCGCGGCCTCCTCGGCGGCGGACCGGGCGGCCCAGATGCCCGTGCCCCTGATCCTTGGGCACCAGGAGAAGGACACCCTGCGCGGCGGGCGGGGCCGTCGATGGTCGCCGCGGGCGCGGCAGGGCGCAGCTGGCCACGCATTGGTCCCGGGGTCGAGGGCCCCCACGGGCCACCCCCCAGATGGGATGGGTCTCAGGACTCCACGGGCCCCCCCAGATGGGGGATGGGGGGGTGACGACGACGACGACGACGACGACGACGCCGACGACGACGACGACGACGACGACGACGACGACGACGACGACGACGACGACGACGACGACGACGACGACGACGACGACGACGGCGGCGGCGGCGACGACGACGACGACGACGACGGTGGCGGCGGCGGCGGCGGCGGCGGCGTCGGGAGTGTTTCGAGCTCATGCGGGTCCAAGAGAAAAAAATCGCTGGTGCCAAGCGTAAGAGATGCTTGTGCGGTCCAAGGTCGCTGGAGCCACGCATCTTGACATCACGCAAGTAATAGCAGGCAGCACAAGCTGAAGCGCCGCAGCTCCGAAGCCGCCGCAGCTGCGGGGGCAGGAGTCACGAGAAGTGATGAGTCGTTCACCGCTGTGGGCTCTGTTCCCCCTCGTTCCCTCTCCTGGGAGAGATCGGGGGGGGGGTTCTCCCCTTTCTATTTCTTGGGGCTGGTCCGAGCCGCAGTGCGTAATTACAGTCGACCCGCATGGTAAGGATGGGCAACCTTTCCAAAGGTACCCATTGCATCCATGCCCCTTCTGCCCATCTTTAGCGAATTTCGCTGGCCAGCCTCGTTCGAAAGACGTCATCTTGGCCCTCCAAGGCCCTTGCATCCTTCCGCGCATCCTTATGATACGGGTCGACTGTATGCCAGCGTGCCAAATCCAATGTTTCGGCTGGTCGAAAGTCAGGGGGGTAGGCGCGATACTGTACTTTCCAAGTGTTCCTAGATTTCCTGTTGTCCCGCGCAGGCTTCAGAAGCGAGGAACGCTGGACATCTTGGAACTTCCAGGAAGTACCTTGAGCCAACAGCTTCATGACATAATTCTCGTCCTGGAAAGACCACAGCAGCTTCACAACAGCTGCGACCGCTTAGGTTGCCACCTCGCGGTCCCAGCCTCTCTCTTTCTTCCTCCTCTCCTTCCCCTCGCTCCTCTGCTCCACGCTGGTGCTTTTTTTCACTTCTGGGATGTTGCTGTGAATGAAGTCACTGGTCAGGTCCGCCGCGTATCGCCACGGAGTGCACGTATAACTCAAGATGATGCGGTCGCCCCCGTTCCTCAACCTCCTTCTTCTCCAACACCAGGAAACTCTCGTCCTGGAAGGACCACGGTTGGGCTCGATCGGGGTGCTGGGGCCCTCCTCCTCCTCCTCCTCCTCCTCCTCCTCCTCCTCCTCCTCCTCCTCCTCCTCTTTGCGCGCTGCGGGCTTGGCGGTCCAGACGCCGTAGCCCCGCGCCGCGCCGCAGGCCTAAGCGGCCGCGGCCGACGCTCCGTCGCGACTCAAGGCCTCCGAAGTCCTCAGAGATCTCCGAGCGCCTCGAAAAGCCTCCGAGGGGGCAGGGGCCTCAGGGGTCCTCGGGCACCCCCCCCACCGAAGAAGGGGAAGGGGAAGGAGGTGCAGGGGGGGGAGGGGTCGAGGTGGAGGGCCGCGGCCCGAAGCCGCCGCCCGCGGCAGCTGCCGCTCAGGCATGGGAGTCGACCTCCACCCCCCCCAGGGGCCGCCTACCCTCCTCTCTGGCAGGAGGGCGGCATGCTCACCCCTGAGGGGGTGTCGACGATGGTGAAGGTGGCGTACTGGTGGGCCGTGTGCCTGAGCGCCAGGAGGTTGCTCACGTAGGCCTCGTTGAGGCCTTGTTACGGCCATGGCGCCGTACCCCGTAGGGCGTTGACGCAGTCGGCGCCCTCGAGGCCGTCGTTGAGGTCGGAGCCGTGGCCGAGGACCATGTTGCGGGGCGGAGGCTGGGTCTCCAGGTTGGTGGCGGGCGCGCGCCGTCGGAGGCGTTCTCCTGGGGCGCGTCGTTGTAGCGGGCGTCGCCGTCGTCGGCTGGGCCGGCTGGGTCGTAGGGCAGGTTCTCGGTGTCGTTCTCTAGGTCGTCCTCCTCGTCCTCGGTGACCGTCGCTGGGGATTCGGGCACCGCCTCGAAGGTGTAGATCTCTGAGTCCTCGTTGAAGCGCACCTTGTCGTACCATCTTGTTCTTGGGGTCACTCCCGTTGCCTTCTCGTCCTTGGAGTCGCTCCCATAGCTCTTCTCGTGGCCGCCGATCCGCTGGGCCTCGTCCGTGTCGACGTGGTCGCTGATCCACTGGGCCTCGTGCGTGTCGACGTGGTCGCCGATCCGCTGGGCCTCGTTCGTGTCCTGTTTCTCGTGGCAGTTGGTCCACTGGGCTTCGTACGTGTCGACATGGTCGCCGATCCGCTGGGCCTCGTTCGTGTCCTGTTTCTCGTGGCAGTTGGTCCACTGGGCTTCGTACGTGTCGACGTGGTCGCCGATCCGCTGGGCCTCGTTCTGCTTCACGTGGCCGTCGGTCTTCTGGGCCACATAGGTGTCGATGTGGCCGCCGATCCGCTGGGCCTCGTACGTGTCGACGTGGCCGGTGTTCCGGAGGGCGGAGGCTGCGATGATCTCGGCGATCCTGGCTGGGAGGGGCATGTTCAGGGCGGCCATGTGGGCGAGGGTGCTGGCGTTGGGCCCGTCGATGCCTGCATCGCGGAGCGCGGCGCAGACTGCCGCTTTGTTCTTCTGGAAGGTGTCGCACTCCTTGTCGTCCTGGCCTTGCGCGCTCTTCTCGATCGCGCTGCTCCCCGCGCTGTTGCTGTCGTTCCTCGGGCTCAGGCCGGTCCTCCCCGAGCTGTCCCTCGCAGTCGGCGTCGCTGTCCTCCGCGTCCTCCTGCTCGTGCTTCTTTGCGACCCCCCTTGTACGGGACGTCTCGGCAGCAGGCAGGGGTTGCTGCGCTGGCGTGTTTGCGTCCCCCCCCCCGCACAGGACGTCTTGCCAGCAATCGGGGGTTGCTGCGCTGGTGTGTGTGTGTGTGCGTCTGGTAGTGCAGCCCTCGTCTGGCGCTCGGCTTTCGCACGGCCAGCTGCTTCGGCTCGGCGTGCGGCAGCAGCTCGGGTAGCCACCTCTGCACGCGCCCGCAGGTAGACCTCCGTGGGGTAGGCGACCGCTGGCGGCGCAGGGCGCGCGAGGTCTAGCGGTTCGCCCAGGAGCCGCTCCGCTTCGAGGTCCGTGTCGGGCGGCGCGTTCTGCTCCTCGGGCTGCACGTCGCCCTTCCAGTCGCTCTGGTGCCCATCATGGGGCTTACTCTGGTTGGGGACCTGGATCACGATGTACCTCGTCTTTGTGTTGATGCCAGCTGCGCGAAGCCCCGCCTCGCAGGCGTCGCGGCGCCGCCTGCGGGCGAGTCGGCGCGCCTTGCAGGCGCCGAAGCGGTCGATTTCTCTCTGGCGTTGGTTCGAAGGCCGCCACTCGTTCGGGCAGCCCCCCTCGTTCCTCGTCTCGTTGTGCTTCCATGGCTCGGGGCTGGCCCTGGCGCAGAGCTGCCGCCCGCGCGCCAGGCTGGCGCCCATGAGGTCCATCCCCGCAGCGGCCCGCCCCCCACGAGGGGGGGAAATGGGGTTGGGCCACAATGGATACGGACCTTCCTCCTCCTCCTCCTCCTCCTCCTCCTCCTCCTCCTCCTCCTCCTTCGCGACAGCATTCCCGCCCAGGCAGGCGCGGCCCCGAGGCATCCACGGCCTCGCTCTCTCCCGGGGTTCGCGACGCGGAGGGTGGCGCGCTGGCCGCCGAGAGCGCTGCTGCCTGAACTCGGGGGCGGCAAAGAGGGGGAGGAGGAGGAGGAGGAGGAGGAGGAGGAGGAGGAGGAGGAGGAGGAGGAGGAGGAGGAGGAGGTGGGGGAGGAGGAGGAGGAGGTGGAGGAGATGACTAGGGGGGGGTGGATGTCCTGGCGGGGGCCATGATATTTCCCCAGATTTCATGGCGCCTCTTGTTATCTCATTCCGTCCCTGGCCCCCCCGCTGGGCCGCGCACATGCCGCCGGTGCTGATTTGCACCCCCCCTCTTGGACACCCCTTTCTTGGCCGCTCCCGGTGAATACGTGTCAAGCCTTGGATAGAGAGAGAGAGAGAGAAAACAAAAAAAAAAAAAAAGGTGCCGACACCGCTGCTCGGGTTTCCACACGGCCACCCCTTGCCATCCATGTGGGCCAGACGCCGCTGGCAGTGTCCAGGCTGCAAAAAGAGAGCGGTGCCGCAGGACATCCAGATAGACATGGGCCGCGACGACATGTAGCGACACGGGCCGCGGCATAGACATGACGGGCGCGAGTAGTTGAGGCATCCGCTCGCGTGAAGAGGGGCTTCAGCTCGTAACCAGCCGCCGCTTGGGCGGTTGTCGCATTCGTCTTACTCGAGCACCACGCGAACGACGGAAGAAAACGGGTTCGACTGGGCGGACACTCGCGCGTAATCTGCAGGTCATAAGCTGGCGCGTAAGCTCCTTCGTTTCCAGCGTAGCGTGCCGCATGGGCGGCCAGCGTAGGCCAGCGCGTGAGGTCGCTATGCAGTCTTGCGTGAGACAATGTTTTTTCGTCGTTCGGGCGGACGTGCTGTGGTTCTCCACGTGGGAGACAGGGCACCCAGAATCGGACGTCTGGAAATAATCCAGACCAAACGTGCTTGCCCCGCTGTTGGCATCCGGGGGCCCTCACCCAGGGCCGTCTAGAGACGAAGAGCGGGTCAAGGGGGAAGGGCCGTCACCTCGATCACTTCTAGAGACTTTGCCTAGGTAGGCCTTTCTAGAAGCCTCTCGATCTGACCTGAGCTGGTCCCCAGCGTTTACTGGTCTTGGTTGGTCCAGAGACTCTGCACTGGAAGAGCCATGGCCTCGGGCGTCTGGACACCGAGCCATCCCTCTCCCCCTGCCTCCTCCCCTCCCGCCCTGCTCTGCCCATCCCCCACCCCTCACCCCCTCCCCCCCTCCGCCCCCGCCTCGGCCGCCGGGGCGGTGCACACAGGCCTTCCCCCTCCTCTCACCCGCGCTCCTCCCTCCCTGCTACGCCCCCCCCTCCCCATGGGGCCCCAAATAATATACACCACCACCACGTCGATTCCTCCTGTCTCCTCTTTCCAGCGAGAGGGAGGGGGGGAGGGAGGTGGTGGTGGTGTATATTTTGGGGCCCCCTATCCCCACCCTTCCCGCGGGGTCTGCTTCGATTCCGCCGCTCCGATCCGACATCGCTTCTGCCCGGCCCGATGCGATCCGATCCCGAGGCGCCGGCGATCCGATGCGGCCCGATTTCCTGTTCGGCGCTGCTGTGCATCCTGTCGCCGCCGATCCGATTCGATCTCGACGCAGTGCCGATGCAGCCCGATCCGATTCGCCTTTCGATTCGATCTGGCCTGCGGGCTCGATGCCGACTGGTCCTGCCTAGCCCACGACTGGCGCCCTGCCTCTCCCTCGACGGGCGCCCTGTGGCGCCTCCACGCGCCGGCCTCCCTTATTCCCTCTGTTTCTGCTCCTCCCCCCGCCTCCCCCCCTCGCCCTTACCACTCGACTCTCCCCCCCTGCGCATGCGTGCACGGGCTTCTCCTCCGGGGGGCGCGTGTGGCAGATGCCCATCCCGTCCACCCTCCGCCCCCCCCTTCTCCCTGCTCGCCCGACCCGACGACGGCGACCGTCACCCGAGGAGGGCGGGGAGGAGGAGGAGGAGGAGGAGGAGGAGGAGGAGGAGGAGAAAGGGAGAAGAGGAGGAGGAGGGGGAGGAGGAGGAGGGGGAGGAGGAGGAGGAGGAGGAGGAGGAGGAGGAGGAGGAGGAGGAGGAAGACATTTTACGCAACAGCACGCCTTACATAGTCGGTGGAGATTTCAACTTGAACCCAAAGTGTGTCAGGAAGGCTTCGCACCACACAAGCTCAAAGGCCAGCTGGTGGTGCCCTCACCGACAATCACATGCACAGCATCCAGTCCAGGCACCTGCTTTGACTACTTTCTGGTTGGGAAGACACTCTTACCTTGTATCGATGAGGCGAGAACGGGGTTGGACACACACATCTATCCTCATCGTCCCGTCTTCCTAACGCTAAAGCAGGGCCTGGACAAGATCACAGTGAAGAGGCTTCGCCAATATGCACGACTGCCCGTCGACTTGCCTGTAGGACCTGCTCCAGAGGCCCCTGAGTACGCTGATCTAGGCGTGCGCATGGATGCCCTCTTGGAGCCCCTGGAGGTTGAAGGGGGCTATCGCCTCCCCTCGGGCCCAGAGAAGGCCGCTCTTCATCTTGGTCTGGATGAGGTCTATGGGGAATGGTGTGATCGTGCTTGGAAGGAATTCGAAGGGACCCTGCAGTGCTACCCTGAAGGACTCCGTGGAGGTTTTGAGTACACCACTGTCGATATACCTTTGGGGGAACTCTTATGTACTAGAAGGTCACCTACAAGGAGCCCCTACCGAGCACTCCATTGGCTTGCCCGTCGCGCACACGAGCTATATCCATTGGTACACAGCTGTAACTATCTTACACAACCTGAATATTTCAGATCATTGGTGAATTCTACGTATGAGTCTACTGTCTCTGGAGGGATGTTTAACTATCATTATCCAGGTGGGAAGTCTCTCTGGCTTGGTTTTCTCCAAGCTGCCCTGGTGCCGCTACATTGCACTGGTTTCATTTGGTGTGCAGAGCTCGTTGCTGAGTCTTTCTTTTCTCTATACCAGCTTGCAACTGTGAATGCTGAAGCTTGTCTGCCCAGGGACCGCAAGGACCGCGCCCAGAAGTGGAAGGACTGGTGCACGGAGGCTCTCGCAGGGGGGGGCCAAGTGGGCCCATGCCTACACCAAGGCAGCTGAGGCGAGGCGCCAGGACATAGTTGCCACTGACAGTGGCAGCCACACCTCATGCTTGACTGCTCAGATGGAGGAGGAGGTTACTTCATGGTCACAGTCATGGGGGGAGGAGGGACGAGATACGTGTCAGATTCTGGACTGGACTGAAGACATGGTCTTCCCGAAGGCTCCAGATGTCGAAGAGGTGATAGCCCTGAGCAAGAGTTTTAAGAGATCGGCGATTGCTGCAGATGGCTTTCACCCACGCCATTATCATCTTCTTTGCAGACCAGCAGCAGCTCTGCTGGGACAATTTATGCGCCTCATGACGGTGATCGGAGCAGCCCCCTCTTGGATGCGCACTCTCCAGATAGCACGTTTTCGGAAGCCTGTCGTTGGACGTCGTCCCATTGGTTTCTTCCATTCGGTGATCAGGATGACCTCAAGGTGGCATTCCAGGGATTGCCAAAACTGGGAGAAGCGCGTCCAGGACAGAGGAGTGTTCTCCATGGCGCCGTCCAGGAGCGCAGCTGATATTGTTTGGAGACAGACGGTCCGTGGAGATCTAGCTGTAGGGGAAAAGAAACATGTGCTATCGCTATGGGGGACCTCAAACAATGCTACGAACATGTACAACATCCTCAGCTAGTTCGCACGGCTATAGAATGGAAGTTCCCTTTACACCCTTTAAGGTTTGCGCTGCATACATATGGGTGGAGGAGGATTATTTGCATGGATGGGATGGTTTCTCATCCCATTGAGCCTGGGCATAGGATATTGGCAGGGAGCAGCACAGCTACTTTTGAAATAAAAGGTGACTGCATACCCGGCGTGAACGCCTACCTAGAGCAAGGCTTTACCCCTACCCTGGCTGTGCATATAGACGATTTCGGTCTCAATGCGTATAATGATTATATTGCGAACTGTGTCCAGAACATGGTATGACCTTAGCACTCTTGGTGAATGGCCTCTCCAGCCTCTTCAACCTCACCCTCTCTCTCTCAAAAAGTTCCGCTTGACTGGAACTAGTTCGGCATTGGTGCGTGCTGCACTCGCTGGGCTGGGCAAGTACGCAGGAGCTTACGATCCTACGAGCACCAACCTGGGAGTGGACTTTGCCCCAGGCAAGCATCGGGAGGTGGGGAAGGGAAACGCAAAAGGAGGGAGAGGTGGGCCAAGGGCAAAACAACGCTTGTATAATATTGCTTCACTTCGGAATCCTAAGAGATCCAGGGCCAAGGTGTGGTTATGCGGTGTGAAACCTGCCACGACGTTCGGGGAGGAGGTGGTGGGATGGTCGCCAGCCGAGTTCCGTCGTCTTCAATCTCAGGCAGGAGCCCTCCTAGGCCTCACGTGCTGTGGAGCTGACCTCGTACTGGCCTTTTCTTTGGAGCCTGAGAAGGACCCGCTTCCCCATGCAGGTGCTACGCTGACAAGGTGCGCCAGGGAGTTCTGGCTGGCCACGTCGCAGGAGCACAGACAAGGTGACTGTCTGACGGTGGGCGAGCTGGCCAGAATTATACCCATCATTCAGAACCATATGGAGGCCCACCCTAGAAGGTCTTGGGATTACAGAGCTCTGGGACCTGTGGGGGATATGCTTCAGTGGCTGATGAACGCGAATTGAGAAGTTGTGGGTCCTGGGCACTTCGCGATGCGGGGCGGGGGCCCCCTCATCCTCACGGACACGCCCTACTGTCAAGTATCTAAGTACTTCATGCGCGACATTAGTAAACAGTTCATCTCGGATCGCAT